AATTGTAGATCTAACGATCTCCTTTGCAGGCGATAATTTCGCGTTTTTTATACAATTAATTAAATGTTGTGTTCTCGTTGGCTAACACTTGTGTAATGTAGGTAATTTTTCTCATACCTTATAAGTTAAATCGCGAAAGAGATTAGTTCAATTAAACTGAGGCAAAATGCCTTGTTGCAATATTCAATAAACACACCCAAGTTAAATGTTGGTAACCTACACACGCCCATAATTATCATAAGTTAAGTAAGTAATAGTAGCAGTAAGAGAATGAATTGTTATCTAAGTCTAGGAAGATTTCGCGATTTAGATCAATGACCTGCAGGGGGGCAAATTACGCCCACGGTTAGAAACTAGGAAGTTAAGTGCACCTTGCAATTGCATTTGTCGAGACGAAATAACTTCGTAACCATTGTGTTACGTGAATTTATCTAGGTGGAAGAAAAATCTCCCTCCTCAGTTTTATTCATATGCATTTGATTAGCAATTTTAATAAATCTGATCAAGGCTCGCAAACGCTCAAAACATCGATAAAAACTTAATGTAATTCGGGACGAGACGATTGCTGCATTACACAAAAATTTAGCAACAGCATCCGATAAAACACAACATAACCCGCATCTCCATCCTCATCTAATTCCAACTCGGATACGCGGCTCGAAGCAAGACAGACGCTCGTCGTCGTGTAGAAAGAACGCGTGAAAAACGGTTTCGAACCTTGTCAAGTCCTTAACCTAGTTGCGTGAGAACAGCGACTTGCATTTTGTTAGACTTGGCCTTCATTAAATATTAAACGCGAGTCCCATTAAGGTTGCCATAACAATTTTTCGCCACTATTATTCTATTATATCAAAAGTGCCGCAAGGGTCCATATAGGAACCGTGTACATCTAATGGAGTGAAACAATGTTTAGTATCAAATATAAACAAAAACGAAAATGTAATAATATAATGTCAATCAAACGCATTTAATAATAGACCGAGACCTTAATACAGAGCCCATCCGCCAAATGTTGTTCATCCCAAAAATGCATTCAACATCTGCCACGATTTAAAATCCTTCTTTCTACCTGCGTACAAAAAACTATAGTGCGTCGGAAAACAAAACAAAACATGTGAAGATGCCCGAAACATCTGCCACGCGACTGCCTCGCTCACGCGATCTTGAAAGCATGCTTCCAACCTGTAATTTGATTCTTTTTTTGCGTTTTTAAGTGGCATGCAATTGTCCTGGGGAGATACCCAGAGTTCCATGGTTTGGTCAATTATTTAACATTTTCCCAACCAAGTTTGGTGTACGATATTTTACATTGATTGGGGTTTATTTGGACATATAAATTGTAGTTTCATTAAGTTTGACCAAAGCTATAGCACAAAAACTGCATGAAAATAAAGACTTAAGTAGTTTTTTTAGCCAACAGCATGGAAAAAAATCAGTTTTAGGTACGTTGCAGTAAATTAATATTTCAAGACCTTCTCTACAAAAAGTGCTTGTGTGAAGTTATTACAAATAAATATACCTAATCATCAGTGCACTAATTAAACGTGTGGTTTTAAATTTTGAGGAAGTAATTAAGGTTATGTTTTCAAGTTTTTTATTAAATAATTCAATTTCTTACTTTTCGAAAATTGTTATTCCCTCGTTAATTTTGAAGTATTATAAAATTACATTAGTAGTTCTAGATTATGTACTTACTGCCTTTTTCTAGGTAAATAGTGTTCATGCGTAGAAGGCCTTTACTACAAGCAGGACAATTTAAAAATACATTTTCTACCTATATGTCACAGAGGAAAAAGAGGATTTATTGGGTTTAAAAATCTATAGTGCCTGAAGTGAGCAAGGTAATTGTATTTTTTGTATTGAATTTTAATATTGATTTTTTTTATTTAAGAAGTTCTTCATTACATCAAAGTTAGCAATCACAAACAATTTTACAATAGGTTCTTAATGTTTAACAAAACATAATTCTTGATAGCCTTATAAGGCTTTATAGCGTAATTCTACTTATTTTATGCATTATAACACGTATAAAGGTATTTTTTCTAGAGAGTTTTCCTCCTCCTGGGGCTGTAGAGTGCCAGAAATCAAAGAAAAGCCTTAGTTTACAAAACAAATTAAAGGATTCCTAAAAACACAATATTTTTTCCTATTTTTAGTATTGAAAATATTTTTTAACAAATTTTTATTATAGGTAATTAAAAAAATTAAATGAATTATTTTAAATTGTTTTCTGTTTTATTTACCCAATTTTCAAATACTTTCCAAAAAATGAATAGATTTTTATGTAAAAAGCTTTTTTATTAATATTCTTTCAAATATAATTATAATATTATGTCATTGGTCAAATTTTCAAAAGCCCAATATTTGCTCTCTGGGTAATGGTTTGAACCAAAACATCCTAATGACACTGCTCCGAATAAGTAAGGCCGTTACATTGAACAATGTTGTATGTTTGTTTACAGACGACCTCAGTTTTGATAACGTTGCGACACAAACGAATTACTGGACTGATGGGAGTTTTCAATGGGGTGTAAAAATAAGGATTTCCATTTAAAAAATTGCGTTATGTACAACCGTTTCGTTAAATTTTGCGTCACCAGCTCAGTGTTGAAAGAAAAGTTGCTTGTTTCATTTCATCACGGTTTTGTAAAACTAGATACATTAGGTGATTAAATATCTTAGTTTTTGTGCAACAATTTTCAAAAACACTAGTAACAACAAGAGGTGCAGTCCTAATGAACGATCACGAATTAAATAAATAAACCTACAATTTTATACGTATACGTCAGCAATTTTTTGCCAGTAACCGAATATAGATATATAGGCGGATGTTAAAATCATACGTTCAAAATGTAAATTTAAATTCGTCACTTCCGGGACCTGCTGTATTTTATCTACCTCATTTCAATGGAATTTTGACGGAAAATGCTTATTGTGAAACAAAACTAAAATCTCATTTTCAAAGATGAAGTAACAAACAAGAAATTGCACAAAACCAATCCTATTTTTAATGTGCTAATACTTGTATTGTTGTATGGAAATAATCCGTTGCTTAATTTCAACTTTAAAACATTGCAAACACATTTCGATTTGATTTTAACTGCGACCAGCGATGCTTACATATCAGTCACGACTTGGCACTTGTTTGTTTTGAATTTTTTTCGTGATAGTGCAAGATACAACAATATTTACATTTTGCATTTGATTGTTTTGTCTGACCTTTACTATACTTCTTGGATGTAAGTAGTAAATAATTGTATTTACTTTAAATATTACGACACCAGCGACGGTGCTATAGGAAATGATCTACGATAATTCCAAATAATTATTTTGTTGCGAAATCGCTGACCTTCAAGATTCAGCAAGGTTCGACAAACACCACGCAAGTTTTTACTATTACAACAGTTCTTCACAAACTTAAACTTTGTGTACACGAAAGCTATTTAACACAATGTGCAAAATTTAGAGCAGCCCAAACAAATATCGTCCGGAAATCCTAATATATTCCACCCAAACTGCGCAGGGCGAGCATTAAAGCATCTGCATCGATCATATGACAATGGTTCAGCTTTGTGCAATTTTAAAAGTATTGTAGGTGTACGAGCACCTGGGTTCGAGCTGAATAGAACCCGAAATTTTAATGCATTCCCTTTTTCCAGTTAGGTAAACATAAGTGTGACCTGAACGTTTTTTTGCCAATGGTTTCGAATGTTCAGGATAAGGTGGCTTATTAAACTTGATATGGAGACCAAGGTAAAAAAAATAAAAACTGAGTACTGAGAGCAGATGCGTAATTGAATAGCTTGGCACGAGTCTTGGTGACTTATAAGGCAAAAGCGGATATAACGATTAATAAAATCTTTGTTTGTAGTTTTTATGAGCATCCGCTATACTCGTCAATGTCACTCACTGCTAAAACAAAAACCATGAGGAAGTATCAAATGTCGAATGATTTTAGCATGAAACTATGCTGGAATTCGGGGTTATCGTTATGATTGAACAATCGAGTTGCTTAATGTTGGATAAATATTTAAATTTGGAGTAATTTGTTTAACAAAACAAAAATTGTAAAATACAATATAAAAAAATCGTTCAAAGTGTAAGTTGCGTAACATTTCCTTGACACTAAATTCGTTCGAAACTGGACAATAGCCAATCCACTTGGGACAAAAAATAGTTGACGGTCAAGTTTAACGCGAAAAAAAATATCACGTTGTTTTAAACTGAGTAAATGATTAATATAAACATTGGGAAATGATGATTTCAAAATGTTTCAATTCAAATCTAATCAGTGTACAATTTTGTAACAACCCAAATCTCGAGATGGGAAACAATGAAGAATTTCCTAATTTTATTGAACAAATTTTGGTTAGTATCAAAGGCAATTAGGACGTCCTGCTTACAAGGCGGAGATGACATCTCTTTAAATTTGAATAGGAAGCATTTAAGAAGCATAAGATTACAATCAAAGTGAAGTCATGCGAATAAATAATATTTCCCTGTTATACACGTGTTCGAAAACAGAAATTAAGCAACGCATTTTGAACCTTAATGTCCGGTCGCAGTTACTACACATGTTACGACACTGTGTATAAATACAGTAATAGTTTAGTAATAAAATGTACTATCTTTCGATCTTTTATATTTCGTATACCTATAAGTATGCATTCCGCCGAATATAGAGGTGTGGTATCGTACCCAAAAAAATGTTATTTTACTTATTACATGCCAAACAATGTCAGTTCAATGACTTGCTTTATCGTCAGTCTTATCACAGGTATTTATTGTGATGCTTTTATCAATTAACAAAAATATAGCAAGATTGTTTGTTTTGGAGATCGTAAGTATCGAGTTTCATTGATACAAATTAAAGAACAGGATGCCACAGCTGTGCCATCGCTTATTTCTGCATTATTATTTTTACCTGAATCGATTTCATTTCCGCAGGATATCTGAATGTTCCGCATAAGCTATAAAATACAATTTAAGAGGTTGCTTACCTTTGTTTGTCAGCAAAGACGAACTTCCTGAGCTTCAAATCCCTCAAGACGATGCCGTTGTTGTGACAAACTTGCACAGTTTCGACAATTTGCCTGAACAATTTTTTCGCCTCAGACTCCCTCAGTTTTTTCCGCGATCTCACGTACGAGTGCAAATCGCCGTGTGGTTTCGGGAAAACTAAAACCAAGTAGTTATTTTCCACGACAACTTCTTGCAAGGAACTTATCCGCGTCGAATCGAGCTTATAGTGAGCCGACACCAGCATGTGGTTGTTTTTTGGCAGGATCTGCAATCAATAGAACAAAGATTGAATTTTTGGTTTCTTTCCTTTGACCTAAACAATGGATACTTGAAGGTGATATGCTAAACAAATATTAGAATGAGGAATATTTCTAATATTTGCTAATCTAATTGTCAAATGTCAAAAATACTTCTTTTGGGGTATTTAAAAGCCTTGTTCATCGTCTTTAAAGGTTTAAAGTTGCAGAAGATGTATGTGTATTTTGTGAAGCAACGCAACAAAATTAACCTCTAGATATTGACCGCATGTATCCCGGCTCAAAGTTCATTTTGTCATTGTTACAAACGGGACTTGTGTTGCAATGGCATAATATAAAGCAAAGACACAACAAATTGATAAAACAAATTGTTGCAAAAGCAAATGTTTTAGCCTTGTTGCGGGATTTTTTTCTCTTATAGGATAGGTGTAGAAATGCCAGAGAAGTCGTGATGAAATTAACATTAAAATATCAAGAACAAACCGTTGGCAATTGTTTTTTTACCCAGTCTATAGGGGCGTTGGCTTTCATAGAAACATTTTTCATAACACGTACATTCCTATTCTTGTAACTGTATCTAGTTGGCAATAATAATGACATCATCAGGTCTAATACAGATCACGTTAACTTCCTTTGGGTGAAATAATATCATTAAGATTGTTCTTTAAAATGATTTGGCCCTGACATAGAATAAGAAACAATATTTATACGAATCGTTGCCCAATGCCATGATGTAAGACGTACAAGGTAAAATTTAATAAGAAAGAACATAAAAATAGCAATAATAGCTGGGCTATTAATTAAACACACAGCAAACCTTATATGGCTTAGAACAGTTTTCAAAATAATTACAACACCCTTCGATTGCGATAATTCGCGTGAATTCCAGAAAACACCGAACTGATATGGCAACCGCAGAAAACTTAAAAATAGCTACCGAATAAAATCATACAGTGTGTTGCGAAAGCATTGAAAATTCTGATTTAAATTTGACATTCACCTTTTAAGGAGTTCACCTTGTCCAAGCCAGGTAATGGATACCACCAATATTGACAAGCAGTGGGAAGCAGGTACGATTTTTTCACCTTGAAAATGCGTAGCAAAATTAATCGCAACCTAATACGACGCGTGTTAATTATTAGCTTTTATAATTTGGCTTGATTCCTATCGGCCTTGTCATTGTACATAAATTTGCAAGGAGGTTTTGATTTTTCAATGAAACTTTATTTGTTTACAAGCCACCATAAATCTTGGCGAGGAAAGGTGTTTTTCTTGGAAAACTGGACAATAGGAAGTACTTGAGTAAAGGTGTTAATTTTATGAGTCATATATCATGGTAAATTTTCCAATAGATTAACTAAAAAAAACAAATTGTATTTCACAGAACCAATACTTTTAAATGTAACCCGATCAAGTTGTATTTATGAAGCAACTTTACATAAAATCCAGGGTGTTGAATGACGAATAAATTCACCGTGGACAATATTTGCATATCGCACGGGTTGCGAATACATTCCCATGGTTAGATGAGATAATTAATTACACGATGGTCTTCTCACGACTGACCACCCTTTGTTATTTGTAGGGGTTGCATTGTGGGAATTAGGGATTTCGACAAAAATACACCCTTTGATACTTTGATACTTTGGGATGCTGACAAGTCATTAAAGTTAAACAAAGAGAGTGTATTGACGCCACAATAGAATTATTGTTGTTATAGCTCATATTTACAAAGACACAACAATTATTGTATCAAGATGCTTTCAACAGAATCGTTGGCAAATTCTTGAGTCGGGGTTTTTAACCTTCTCATTTATTTCTCGTTTGGACTAATTTTAATCTCGTTACCTCCCTTAATGATGTAGAAATAATTGTTGAATCTTCGAAAAATATTGACGTCAATTTACTGCGTGTTCAGGTAGTGGGTTGGATAATGTATAACTATGTGAAAAACAAACGCTGTTTCACGATTTTATTTTAATTTAATTTGACAATTGTTACTGTGTTAGCGAAAAAATAGTGTTTGTTTTTTATCTAGTTATACATTAGTGATAGATGATGAAATTTTAGAAATATTTACTTGAGCATTTCAATCTGACATTCCCAAATTTTGACACATGGCTAAATTATCAAAAAATTTACCTTGCAAACCAGCTGCTCCTGATTGTGGATGTTGACACACCTATAGAGCGAACTGCCCTCGACTTGTTCGAATATTTGGTACTTGTCGGCTACAATAGGGGTAGGAAGAGTGGGGTTGGCCGCCAAAGGATAGGAAGAGAGGACTCTGCCCCTGTTGGGCCCCCCCGTGGGTGCCCTTTGGATCGCAGTGGGATACTCTATGTCGTGGGGATGGGAAAGGCGCATTTTCTTCACCACCTCATGCCCGTGGGATACATCCTTGTCCCTTAACATTTCCACCACACTTGGCATTACTACTTCGGACATTTTCGGCACTGTCACAAACACGAAAAAACTGAACCACTAAATCGAATAATCCTTAGAAGAGTGCTGCACCTTGAAAAATCGAAAAAACCTTGGTGTCAGTGGAATAAAAGTTTCATAATGAACATAAACATAAAGGTCGCGTACGTAAAAACTAAAAAAGTTCGAGCGGATATCTCGCCTTACCGCAGTGAATAGCGTTGCGCTACTGAGGTTAACATAAACGTGAACGTAAAGCCGCGTGTGTCGCATGAAGTGGGGATGCTTGAAGCGCGGTTGCCAAGTCTATACGGCGGCCGCCTTGTGGCATTTGTTGTTAATGGGTTTACGAGATAAGGGATGTCTGGGTAGGATACTTTGTGTGGTTTATCTATTGATAAATCAGAAACATTTGGTTTGCGTCAATGATAATTATTAGGATGACACAATCATTTCTAAAAATTTACGTACATAATATATATTATATGCGGTATTTAAGGAATTTTTTATGTGTTTTTTTTGGTTAAAATTTAATAATATATTTATTAATGGTCAGCTTTTGATGTGTTTAGATTTAATTTATTTATTCCAGTAGCTACTTAAATAGCGCGATTGCATAATGATTCAAAATAAATACCCTGTATACATTATTAATTACATATTGTCATGTGCGTTAATGGGAAACCACTGGGTTATAATAATTATAGAATTGAAATTACGCATCTATTACAATACCTCCCACGGCGCATTCACCATTTTAGCAAATTGTTAAAAATAAAATATTATTTTTAAATTATATTTTGGTAAGTAGGTACTCATACCTACGTAATTTAGTTGGGTTGCCTAATAAATATTTTTAAAATAAACATTTTCCTTATACTTCATCGGCGCATTCGCCAATTTTAATAATAAGTTTTTTGACGCTTTCAAATTAATAAAAAAATTTGGAAATATTATATGTTTTGTAAATATTAAACATTTAAACAAAAAATTTAATTAAAGCAAAATTTTCAGCAAAATTAACGGAAACATTAAGAATTGAAGTTTTAATTCTCATAGCATGTGACAATAAAACTAGACAACAAGAAGTTTGCAATTTATTTAATGCAAAGTATCCAGCTTAAGCTAGGTCAATTGACCTATTACTCGTGCAACGGTTAGTAAAATTGAACGGAAATTCAGAGAGACTGGACCTGTCAAAGATATTCCAAAACCTGGCCGTATTAGTGAAGACACTAAAATTGACATTTTGTTACTGTGGAAGAAATTCCTCACAGTGCTTCTAGCCTAATCTTAGCTGAAAGTCAAGTTAGCCAACGCTCAGTATTACGTCTTATGAAGAAAGAAAAGTACCATCCATACAAAATTAGACTAGTGCAGGAACTTTACAAAGATGATCCGGACCGAAGACTACAATTTTGCGAAACTATAATGAATTTATGTAACAATATAATCCACACTTTCCTCGTTAAATACTTTTTTCGGGCGAAGCTACCTTCTGTTTGAATGGTTCAGTCAACCGTCAAAATTGTAGGTACTGGAGTAAAAAAAATACTCATTGGGTAGTAGAGGCAAATTCCCAATACCATCAAAAAGTGAATGTCTGGGCAGGAATGGTGGAAAATCGGATCATAACTCCTTTCTTCTTTGACGAGAATATAAAAGGACAAACGTATTTGCAATTTTTGCAAAACTCTCTTCTTCCCACATTAGCAGAAATGTTTCCCAATGAGAATGGAGTTCCCGATCTACCAAGTGATACCATTTGCTTTCAACAGGACAGGGCACCTCCGCACTATGCGCGTCCTATCCGTACTTTTTGGGACACATGTTTTCCTGAGAGGTGTATTGGCAGACGAGTACCGCGATAGAGTGGCCAGCGAGATCTCCAGATCTCATTCCTCTCGATTATTTCTTATGGGGCTACCTTAAACCAAAGCGTCGCTGTTCTGACAAAGAGGCGTAAGGGACATTTTTATATATTGGAGTTAAGTTCACTAAATGATTTTTTACGGTTGAATCTATGATCTGACAAAAGGAAATACATACATACATACATTATGTATGTATGTATCTATTTCTTTTTGTCAGATCATAGTTTCAACCGTAAACTCCAATATGGAAAAAATGTCCCTTACGCCTCTTTGTCAGAACAGCGACGAAAGGTCTACATCAACAGACCACAAAATTGAGAAAACTTGAAAAATGAAATTCGTGAAGAATTTCGCTTTATTACTGCGGAAGTCATCCAAAACGTTCTCAGAGACTTTTCGGATAGGCTTGCTTACTGTCAAGAAACCAACGGGGAGCAATTCGCACATTTAATTGGGGAATGTATTCATTAAAAGCATTTTCAAAATAATTTTCATGAAGATAAAAATTTTTAAATGACTACTTTCAAATTTAATAATTAACAATAAGACGCAATGACGCCCAATAAAAACAAGAAAATGTGAATGAAAAAACTAAATAATAAATCAAAAAATTAATTAACAACCCTCATGGAACTATAAACCATAACAAAAAATTGTTTTCTGGCGGAGAATACAATCAAAAACCAATTTATATCAATATTGGAATCAAATTGAATATGTCCATAGCATATAACATAAAAATGATGGATATTTGTGTGCCATATATGATAAATAATAGGGTGTTCTTATTGTATTGTTATTTTTAATCAAAACTGATTGATCTATTTAATCAAAATACATACCTTAAAAATTGTATTTAAACAATGCCTTAGTAAAGTAAATCTTACCTTATTAACAAACTTAGTTAATCTAGTATGTAATACGCCTACTTTTCACTAAAACAATGAATTAATTGAACAACTGTAAAGTAAACTGATTGGGCGTTCGTATTTCGCAAGTGAAAAATAAATAAAAAATAATTTAATAGTCCGATAATTTTTGTGACCGGATTTTATTAATTTGCTTTTCCCACAATGCCCAATGTTGCGCAATCTCTTTTGTTTTGCAATTTTATCGATATTTTTGCTCGACACTTAAATTTTAACTCAATTAAAATTTGTTACAAAACCAACAAAAATCAGGAATATTTGTAATAATTTTGTTTGATATTTACACAATGTATCTATTGATTTGTGACATGGTAACATACTTAACTCACTTGGTGATATTTGGGCAAAATGGTGCAATTTGTTTTAACTACATTAAAATGTTACAAAATTTTAATAAGAAATTAGAAAACAATTACAAAGTAAAAAAAATTATTTTATAAAGTAATTTTCCCATACTTTTACTGAAAATTTTTCCCAGGGTAAATTAACAATTTAAATTCGAAACATAGGAATTAAAATATTCTGGACCATCGAAAATTTAGGGTGAATATCAGATTCAACAGGTTTTTTGGCCACCCCAAATTTATTTGGCACTGACCCTCTCTAAACACTTTGCATTAAAATCAAGTGACATAGAAACAAGATCAAGGTTAAGGACATCTGTCTTCTCTGCAGGAGTACTGGACCAAGAAGAAAATAAAGTTTTTATGAAAAAACCAATTACCTAATAATATGATATTAAAATTTAACTAAGTTCATTAAAAGCAAATCCCCACAATGGGGATTTTCTTAGACTTGGCAACCCGGCACATATTTAGCTTAAAGGTGATTTTTCTGTATACCTGTGACGATGGTAAGGTGGTCCCTTTAACATGCAGCTTGCCACCCACCACCGCACCTTTAGGTACAAAACATAAAAAACAAATCTCCCTTTTTTGACAAAGAAAAAACAGATGACGTCCTACGATTTTTTACTACTGATAAGTCTGGATTCCTTCTTGCATCTGCTTCCTTAAAAGTTGTTGAATGTGGACCAAGATGTTTAATTAATCAATTTTGGAAGGGTGAAAACCCTTATAAAACAAATAAAATGTGGTGGTTAAAATGTAAAATAATATTAGGAGTAACATTGTTTTTAGAAGTAATCCAACCCAACCTCTAAAACATGTATACGTATAAAATATGAACAACTTGTTCAGAACAAGACTTCAAAATCCTAAAATTTGTGTTTTGATGGAAATTGATTAAAACGGATAAGTAAAGATATAAGGTAATACTTATTTCTTATTTTTATATTCTTATTTTTACCTTTGTATACTTAAGTATCCAAAATATAGTTAAATTTAAAAACAAAACAATTCACTTTTCTTAGGATCCTAAATATTGTAACTTACCTCTAAGGTAATAGTTTAACAATACAAAATTATAATATTAGATTTTAATTCCCTTAGATTACAAATAAATTACAAATCTAAATACCTTAATACTTATACAAGAATATTCTGGATAATATACACTGTAGGTAGGTAGGTATACCTACTATAGTTACTAATATATGTTACTTACATCTATAGATATTATTTGAAGCTCAAAATAGTTGATATGGTAGTAAACTCTAAGATTAGGGATTTTTTTTAAACCTTAAAACCTAATGTTCTTTTAATCGATTAAAGTAATTGGCTAATTGAACAATACCCTGTTTTTATTATTCATATAGCAGTAAAACAAATTTTAATTTGTTTGTTTTCAATTTTTATTATTAATGCTATAGCAAATTATAATTTGCAGACAACAAAATTGGTAATCAATGTTTTTAAACATAAAATTGGTGTAATACTTACAGGTTAATAACTTATTGTTCATAAAGGTGACATTCAAAGAAACGTATTGAACAAATATATATGTAAAATTAATTAATATTAAACTAAGTATTGCAATGTGCAATAATTCTCGGTAAGGAGATTTGTTTATTTTAAACGATTCCTTAAATTATGGGAAAATTTATTTTATGTATAAATATTTACTTTACAGTTTATTTTGCAACAATTTATACACTATTTATTGTGGAAATATTCCCAAATTTAAAAAAATGCATTACATTATTTGCTTGCCTATAATTGTGCAACAGTGAGTAATCCGCTCTATTGCTAAACATTGACTCACGTTAAACCATAATTAATTTTATCATTTATCGAAAAAAGCAATTTTTAGTCCTCAACCTCACAAGATAACAAAATAAGTTTATACCAACTCATTTATATTCACGTCAGAAAACATTTTAGTTTTATCATGTAGGTTGGTTTATCACCCCAACCATTGGCACCCTTGATTAAAAAGAAGGCCTTGACCCCAAAAGTGTGGAAGGGTATATGTATGGTAATTTTAAAAGTGTTTAAAATTTAAAAGTCTTTTTTTGTAATGTTAATACAATACAATTATTTTAATGACAAAAAAAGTTTTTAATAAATAAGTCTATACAACAACAAAATTCAGAAGAGTAAAATAGTAAATGTTAA